AATTTTATATATAACGTTTTTCTTTGTCTAATTCGCTTCTCTAAAAAAGTATTTCTTGCCTTTATGTAAATATAATAATTAAAATATAAGTTAAAAAATTTGTCTTGTTCTATTGAGTAGTTGTAAAGAACGTATTTTGAAAAAGATCCTTATAAGAAATGCCTAGGTTGTTAATATTTACTTGACTTTTATAAGTTCAATGTCATATATAAGTGTAGCATGAGGAGGAACAGTGGGTCCACAGCCTCTAGATCCATAGCTGTAAAAGAAAAATGTATTAATTCACATATTTTTTCAAAATTATGTGACAAACAATTGAAGAGATTGCAAAAAAATTTGTGAAGACGACCCTCATTAAAATGTGGAAACGTGAAACGAATTGGAATGCATGAGCGGCATAAGCGAAATGCTATACATACCCCATTTTCGGTGGTATTATGAGACGACGTTTTTCGCCGACTTTCATTCCAACTGCTCCTTTATCCACACCGCGGAGCACAATCCCTGCACCGAGTTTGAATTCCAAGCCATGTCCTTTTAAGCATTGATCGATCTGTGGCATTTTTGACCCAATCTGTACATGAGCCGAATAATACATTGTGACATGTTTGCCCACTTCCGCGATTTTCCCACTGCCGGGTTTTAGCTGTATCACTTGTAGACCACCGGGTAAAAACCATGTTGTATCATTTTTTTCCTGCTCTTCTTTCTTTATTTGCTTTTTCTGTTTCCCGTTGGCTTCTTCTCCGGTCGCTTCCTTCTCTTGCTGTTTTCCATTTTTTTCTTGCCCATCAGAGTCTTCCTCTTCACTTTCCTGGCTCTCGATTTCATCATCATCACTATCGGAGCTTGTTGATTCATAATAATCATCGTCTTCATCATCATCAGAATTTTCTGTATCATCACAATTATCATTATCACTGCAATTCTCACTGGAATTAGCTGACGACTTCATGCGCTTTGCTGCCTCGTCTTTCGGCGAATTTGCTTTCCTTTTCGAGTTTTCTTTCTTTTCACTTTTTTGGTAGTTTATTGCATTTAAGGGGATCCTGGAGTGACAGCACTGTCGTATAGGTTTTACTATCCAGCCTCCGTATACGTCATCTTGGTATGTTATTGAATTGTTTTCTATATAATCGCTTATTTCTTTTGAAGTAGTTGGACCTTCCATTATATGCACAGGAATAATGTTTTTACGGTCAGGATCATCTACCACCTTTTTGTAATATCCACTTAAGTGTACATAACCTCCGCCGTTGCACAAAAATGTTATAAAAGTTCCTCTTTCAATATGTAAGTTGAGCGGTACTTGCATCACGTTTGCCTTGTCTAAAGTGCAAATCAAATATCTCGTAGCGTCTCCACCGACAATCATCATTACTTGTATTGGATGATCTGTGAAAAGAAAGAGGCAATAAGGATTTTCAAGCACACATTGGCTGCGATCAGCAGTGAAAACTGCTTCATGCAATTGTTGTAAAATTTGTGAATATGATTGTTGTGTACTTTTAATTTTGACCGGCGAAGCTAAGAATATAACACTAATCAAATTCATGAATTTTAACAGCAGTTGCAAAGCAGCGCGTCTCTGCTGAATGCGTTAGAACATATGGTGTATCAATAGTATACATTTGCATTGCTCTACATAAATAATGGAAACTCGTAGAAAAGTATCTGTTGAGCTAATTAAGGGCCGGTCTCACAGTCTCCGATTAACGTGATTCTCTGATTAAACTCACTCTGCATCTCTTTCTAACTATCCCCCTAGAAAGAGACGAAGAGTGAGTTTAATCGGAGAATCACGTTAATCGGAGACTGTGAGACCGGCCCTAAGTCATTTACGATGCGACGATTACAATCGTTACGTATATCTGTCCGAGCACTCATTGAGAGCATGTTAGGCACCGAATATTCGGATGATAAAATGTGCGACGTAAAAGATGATACCAAATTAGGAAAAAAAAAACAACATGCAAGTTTTGTCCACGTGACAAGAAAAAAATAAAAGGACTTAATTTGCGAGCCCGCGGTACAAAATTCCTCGATGAGTCTTATATCAATCTTTGTGCGCTCAATGTACTGAACGTCATAGATGACGTAATCTATGTGAATAATTGATTTTTTTTTGTATTTCATTGTTTTTGTAAATAAACATGCATTATCGTTGGTTTGTATTTTTTAACAAAAATTCAAACTTTTATCTACAAAATTGCTTGGAACTAGAAATGTGAAAATTCGTCATTTTTGGAGCTTTGCAATTTTGATGATATTCCAATGTTAAAAATTTTTTTTGTACTTTGAAATGTGCTCTTTCAAAATCTGACGTTTACTTTGCATTTATGAGTAATCACAATTTTTCAAGACGTATTTATTGGTACTTATTATGATTTTTGACTAATTCTGAATTAATATACGTATTTTTTTTACGATTATTCTATACCCTATATTATCTTTTACTAATCTTTTTTTCCTCCTCTTAAGCAGGGAACCCTTCTTTTGATCACACTATTCCCCTTAAAGGAAATCTCGTCTTATGTCTATTTTTACCCATGTAGATTAACTTTAATCTCGGTTTAACTTACTTTTATCTTTTTTTTTTAGTTCTAAGAATTAGAATAGATAAAATGTAAGTTAAACCGAAAATAAAGAATCTATACATTGACAGAAATAGACATCAAACGAGAATTATGCGTGACGAAGTTCGGAATCAAACTCACGATTCTTCGATTACCGATCATTCGCACTCACACTGAGCCACGTGTCATCTCAACGATGTTATGGCTCCTGCATACAGAACGCGGAAAGAGCGCAGCAAGGCGTTTTCGCGTCCTGTGTGTAGGAGTTGTTATTAGGACAAACGCCACGTGTATGCACGCGCAGTTATGCCCCAATGCGTGTAAAAACGTGTGGAAACGAAAACGGCGGGTTTCAGGTATGCCGTTGAGATTTCACGAAAGCGCGTCGTAAGTTATATCTTACCGATGATAATCTTCGAGACATCCAGACTCGCCATGGTCAAGTGGAACGACTGTTTTACGAGCTGCGTGTACTTTTTGTACGGCTGCAGTAGCAATGCTGAAACACAAGTAACGCGAAATTAAGCGTAACATCACCGAGTGATTTTTCATGCCGGTTTTCGTCTCGACACGTGCATCCGAATTCCTCAATTTCGAAGCGGACGAACGGCAATAGGTGACCGCTGGCAGGATGAGACATCTAGACATCTTGTCACGATATACATAGATTTTATTGACATTTACAGAACAAACTCCTATGTGCCTTACCCCAAATGCTGATATATGCATCGCCATCAGTAGCATTGCTAATAAACTTGCTAATAAACTTGCTAATAGACTTGTTCGTAGAATTACTCTCTCTCGTAGAATTGCTTGTAGTATTCTCCATATTAAAACGGAAGACCGATCGAGCCAGAGAGAAGGAGATTTGTCCGTACACGACAACTCCTAGGACACATGTGGTGAATCAGGTAAATAGAATTTAGTTTGCTTGCGATCACGTGCAGTGGAAGGGGGGTTTCCATCGAACAAGAAAGATCTTACGCGTGCGTGGTAGGGTCAACTTGTGAACAATAGGCGATTTTTGGCGATTGTTTGGTACATATACCGAGGTTGCTATTTGTAGAGGCAGAGCTTATTCTGTCAACATGTACCGCAAAATGTATGTATATACTTTTCTTCACCTTTCTTTTTCTTCTCCCCTCTCTCTTTCTCTCTGTTCCAGCTTGAGATTGGATGTGGCGATCATGGCGCAGAAAGATGTGCGCTGCTCTAATGAGCCGAAGATCCGAGTTCAAATCCGATCAAAAATCGTCGGTTTTATTTGATCGTCACCTTTCGGAAGGGTAATGGCAACCCACCCTGAGAGTGTTCTTTAGGTTTAAGGCACTAGGGCAAAATTATTGTTACGAAACCGAAAGGGAGGCCTCGGATTTGATGAAGGCCGAACTTCAAAAAGCCATGGCTCCAATCTTGAGCTGTAGAACCATTAAAGAAAAAGAGAAATTTGATAAATTTCTCGGAAAAAAAAGAACTCGTCTGCATACTTTTTACGGAGGTATTCCTCAATCTCGTCTTCTTTCTGCAAATCCCAAAGAAATTGGCATCGTGGGAAACGAGGTGGACGAGTTAGGACCGACTGCGCGTGAGATTGAAGGACGACGTAGGAGTACCTCTACGTCGTCCTTTAATCTCACGCGCAGTCGGTCCTAATTCGTCCACCTCGTTTTTTCCTACGATGCCAATTTCTTGGGCACCTTCCTCCCATTCATCGTCATCCTCAACTTCATCATCTACTTCAGCTTCATCTATGATGAACCCACCAAACCTATCCTGCTCTTCTTTTTCTTTCTCGGCCGATCATCATCTTCTTCCTCTTCTTCATATTCACTACTATTGTCCGAGTCTTCTCCAGTTCTCCTTCAGGTTCCTCTTCCGGTTCCACAGCTTCTTCATCTCCCGATCTGACTTCTTCTGCGGCGTGTTTTGAGCGTAGTAGGGTGCCCTTTGAAACATAATATTCTTCGTTATCTCATGATGTATCTTATTTTGTTATCTCATTCGTTTGTATATACTAATAGCGGGTAAGGTGGTATTTAAGCGTCTCGAATAGCCAGATCTGTCGAGAACATATTTTGAAAGTGTGTTCGCTACAAATTTTGTCGATAGAATCGGGAAAAATATAACGGGATTTTGTTAACAAAATATAATGGTACATTTTGACTGCTGAAAGTGAAGATCAGAATTCGCCGTTTTATGTAACCATTTAAATGCGATGTATTCCATTGCATTTGAATGTTTGCGAAATGACAGACACAATTCTATTCCATTTCTGCCGACAATCTGCTGTCGAGTTATATCAGCAGACTCCACCGGCGAAACATGATTTTAAAATGCGAACACAGCGATATGATACCAGATCTGTTGCAATATTTGAACAAATCCGCTGTCAATCTGTTATTATACTGCAGACAGTTTGATTACGAACGTTATGTGAAGTACATTAATTGTTTATTGTTTTTTTTATTGTTTATTCGGATTTGTGAAATGCTTCTTACTTCTTACCGATTTACACTCGAAAGGGACCAAAAGTCAGTGGTCGAAATGGATCGTGACAAACTGTAATTAAAAACAAAGACAGCCGGTTTGGCCGAATAAAATATCATTATCGTTAGTTATTTACCGGCGAAGCAAGGTCTCGTATTCAGTTTGACAATATATTCATTAACCCTCTAATATTGCAAGGTGGTTTGTTTTTTAGATATATTTAATCAATGTACAAAATGGGCAAAAGAAGTAAACAGTAACATAAAACTTTTTCCTTTCTTTATATGAAAAAGAATGCAATAAAGTTTGAATTAACTGACTTTAAATAATTGCAGTAAAATAGGCAACCTTACCATTAAAGGGTTTTGAGAAATTCAAACGAATACACTGTGCCGAATACGTAAAATTGACGATATTGCAAGTTGCCCAATGACATATATTAGAACGACTAGTAAACGTTAATCTTTACGATTCATTATCGTCCCCGATGCTTTGCAGATCAGTATATATATTTATTGCATAATGATATATGATTTTTACTTAAAACGTGCACTTTTAGTACCGTCCAAGTTCATCCTGCACGCGGGTGATAACGGGGCGCGGAAAGAATGCAGTTTTGCGGCGATACGCGATGTCGTCGTAAATATGTATAATCTATTATACGAAGCACATCCGTATAATAGTAAATCGTGAATTTAATACCGCGCCGCGAGCCAGGTAGCCAGGTGGAAATTTCGTTTCAAACAATTCCGCACCTTCCGCAGGTGGAACTAATCGCCGAGCAAGCTAATCGGAGATCTCGATATCTCGATCGAAGAGAGTCGCCCTCTGTCCGTGACGTACAATACATCCACAGCTGACTCTTCTAACGGCAGATTCACGCTCTCCGTTCGACGTCCAATAAGAAAATTAATTTCCTAGGAATAAAATGGCGTCTTCGGGAATCCCTAGGATCCGCGCTCTCCCATTGGACGTAGCGTATCCTCGCACTTGTCGATGCCCGTCGGTGGCCCCGACGACGTCACGACGGGGAAGGGTGAAAAGGCGAGCGAGAGAGAGAGGGAGAGAGAGTGAAACAAAGCGACGGAGAGAGAGGAGAGAGCGAGAGAGAGAGAGAGCGAGAAGGAGAGGCGACAGGCGACCGCAGCGCGGCGCGTCGCGATCGCAGTCAGTTTGAGTCAGTTTCGCAGGCGCGGCGCGATAGGTGGGTTCGCACGATCCCTGGCACCTGGGGATCGCTCGACCGCTCGACGGCCTACCCGAGGTAGGCTCCTCCGTTCCCGAGGAGCGCGAACCTCGTCCCCGTCGCAGACGCGCGCCCGCGCGCGCGCGCGGACGCGTACGTATATACACCTGTGCCAGCACACCTGCACGCGCAGATACATCCATAGGCACGCACGGCACGGGATGGCGTCCACGAAGAGGAAGCAGGACGAGAGGAACCTGAAGACGCTGCGCGAACTGGTCTCGCAGCCGGGCAACAAGGAATGCTTCGACTGCAACCAGCGCGGCCCGACTTACGTCAACATGACGATCGGCTCGTTCGTCTGCACCTCTTGCTCTGGTATGCTGTAAGTAGCTCCGGCTCTCTCCGACTTCTCTGCGTGGCCCTCATCGCCTCCTCCTTCCCTCCCCGTCTCCTCCTCCTCCTCCTCCTCCTCCTCCTCCCCGCGGATGTTTCCTGGATCGCGCGCGTGTTCGCTGCGCGGTACCGTTCTCGCGTTCCCCCACGACGGCGGCGGCGTGACATTGGGCAAATGTCATCCGTGGTCGGGGGGAGACGGCGGCGAGGTGCGAGGATCCTGGCCGAGATACGATCTCTCCTCCCGGGACCACGGTGAGGAGGCCACGACGACGGTGCCAGTATCCTGCGATTCGGGACACGACCGAAGCCGCGATGGTATCGCGATCGTCGCGCGAGCAGCGCGGACTTATGTAGCGCTCATCGGCTCGGCGTTCCAAATCCTGGTCCTGATGGCCGTGACGCGGTGCGACGGCGATGGCTATAAATAGAGAAAAGGAAAACCCATTGCGTGCGCGCGCGCGCGTTCGCCGCCGAGCCACGGAGATGCCCCTCCATGTAGGACGCGCGGCCTCCGCGCGAGAATCGCTTCGGGCAACGTAAACGTACACGTGTACAGGCCTTTGCGTTCACGATCGTTGCGTCGCGACGCGACGAAGAGGAAGAAGAAGAGAGACGAGAGAGGAGAGAAAGCGAAGGGAGAGAGGAGAGACCGTGCGCTCTCGCGCGGCTCTGAGTCATCGCATTAAAACGTCGGCGCGGCTTCCACAGCCAGGAAGTTAGCGCTATCAGCGACGTCGACGTTTTTCTTTGTGCGCAGTTCTGGTTATCTATCAGTGGTCGAAATGTTACCGCCGAGGAGAGAAAGACTGCGTCTTCCTCCTCGTCTCCGTCTCTTTCTCTCTTTCTTCTTCCTCTTCTCACGCTCTTCTCTTCTTCTTATTTCCATTCCCGAGGAACTGGCGATCGTTCGCGCGCGATACGGCCGATTATCGAGCTCGCGCTCTTTAATCGGTCAAGTCGCATAGTCGCATTGCGCCGATTGCGCGAGGCGGCCGCCGCGTTGCACCGCACACGCGCGCACGTGCGGATTTTTAAATCTCGTTACACGGCTATATTTGCGTCCTACGACGTATTAGAGGCACGCGAGGCCTTCGTTATTATTCCGTCACGGAAACTTAACGATTGGCCGGGTCCGGGGGTATTGCGGGACGAAAGTGTCCCGGGGCGAACCGCGGCTCGAAAAATATTGTCCGTATGACGTAATTACAATTGCCAAGCGCTCATTGATTTTCCGCGAACTCCCCTCTCTCCTTTTCGCTCTCTCGCTCTCTCGTTTCGTATTGTCTAACAAATAATTTCGAATTAATCGGCGTAGAAAGCCTTAGTTTCCAAAATTACAGTCCCTCGTAACCGCCGAGATCAGCTGTAAATGAAAATATTTTCTTGGAAAGGATAGTACCGGTAGTACCAATTTTTTTAAGCAATGGGGAACTATAAGTATTTACGTGATTCACGTTGCGTTAACAATCACGAGGTTTGTCCATCCGCTCGTCAATCCGATCTTCATATTGATAAAACCGAGTCAGAATCCTAATCTACAAGCTCTCGCGTTGCACTTCCAGACGAGGCCTGACACCACCGCACCGGGTAAAGTCCATTTCCATGGCGACGTTCACCCAGGACGAGATAGACTTCATAAAGGAGCACGGCAACGAGTACTGCAGGAGAATATGGCTCGGTCTGATGAACTCCAACTCCCCGCAGAACTTGGACACCAAGGACGAGCAGAAGATGAAGAACCTGATGAGCGCCAAGTACGAGATTAAGAGATACTACCTGGACCCGTCGATCGCGAATCAAAACATAGTGGCGCAGCCGAGGTCGCAGTCCGCGAGCAGCGTCCCGAGGGTACCGAACTCGGGAACGTCCGCGACGCTGCCCGCGCCGGTCAGTCAGAAGTCGGCGAACACAGACGCGATGAACAACTCGAACACGTTCTCGACGGACTTCATCGCCGACTTCAGCAAAGTTCCTGATCCCTTCTGTCCGGCGACGACGGCGCCGGTCGGCCAGTTCGGTCAGCAGCCATTCGCGCCGCAGCCGTTCTTCGCTAACTTCGACAATAATCCGGTCTTCAATAATTCGAAGAGTGAGTATATTGTCTTCTCCCTTTTTTACGTCAGAAATCCACATTGTAACACGACGCCTGTTTTATAATGAATAATTTTATTATTGAGGTATGGAAACGTCCGCAATGTTTAATCAGGTCGGTGGGAACGGCACGATGAACATGAATGGGATACACGCGCCACCTTCGGAAGATCGTTACGCGGCACTTAAAGACTTAGATTCGCTGATGAAGCAAACGCAGTTGAAGGAGGAGACAACCTTATCCGCATCTACATGGAACGCAAATAATTCGAATGGTGAATATCATTTGCGGGGGATTACCTGATAATAAAGTGCCGATTAACTACACACGTATTGATATAAAAAAGGAAGCATCGGATTACATAAAGTTCTCATTTGCAGCAC